TTTTATTTACTCTTTTGTTTCACTGAGGATATGAGTGTTTAGATGCGAATCCAATCCAAATTGTGCTTACACAAAGGAGTTAGTGATCTTGATCATTTTATGTTTGCCACTTTGCTGACTATATACAGGGATCGAGTTGTCATTTGTGAGCTCGAGTAGTGAATGGCATCATCCAGTACTTTTGTAGAGCGCCTAAACTTTTGGGAAGAAAGTTTTACCGCTCAAGCAGTAAAAGTTGCCCTCGAGTAGTTGACCTATATGTTTTGCACCACCTTTACTCACACCGCTCGAGCGGTGAAGTGTGCACTCGAGTAGTCTTCGCGATTTAGTTTATTATAAAGTGTATAGTTTGATATTTTAGGGTTAAAGCTGTTCAAAATCTTAGTGAGAAAGAAAAGTCAAAGTGTTTTCTATTAGAGGCTATTTTATATGAGTTTCAACATTGGGCAAGACATATTTGAGGTGAAGACGATGGTGAGAGATGCCCATTGGGGTCGGTTCAATTCGAGCGTGGATTCGCTAAGTAATTGAAACTACACTTATGCAATTTCTTTTTGTTTTCTTAGTGGATTGTTTTGTGAATTTGGCCCGTGATTTTTTTTTATCACAATTGGAGGCACTCCAATTGTAGTTTTTTTTCTACGTTAAATCGTTGTGTCAATTTATCTTTGATTGTTTGATCAGGATTGCTATTCAATGTTTAAAATTGAAATATAATCATAAATCAATATCTTAGAGATTTTAGATTTTTCACATTTGATAATCATTACAAAAGGTACTACATGCCTCTTACATTCATAAACCCCAGATTCTAAATCTATAGGACGTGACACAAGGCGATATATATGAAATGAAAGGAAATTTAGAGAAGTTCATACCTTAGTGGCTACATATTTTCAAGACGATACTTGGTTACAACAAAAGTAGGTCAAGCCCAAAACAAGTAAAATGCCCAAGGCTTGTACAAAAGATACTTACAATAAAAGAAAAGCAAAATAAGCCTTTAGCTCCACGATCCTTCCAAGCTAAGTCTTTGGCGAAGTTATGCCATTAGCACTTGAAAGTTGGTTTCTACATAGGGTGAGCTAAAGCTTAGAAAAGAATACTTGAACCCACTGTATGATACTTAACAAAGTCATACGGTGAATGCATGTACATATCATGTACCAAAACCTTACACTTTCTCTTTCAAAACAATGTAATGTCATGGTTATAGGTTAATTTGTAAAATAATACTTTTTAAATCAGAAAATAGGGTGTTGAATATACACCCTAGGTATGTTTTTTCCAGTAGGCTATACAAGTACTACCAAAGCCATTTTACCAGTACTAACTGGAAGGATCAATACCTAACTGTGTGGGTTTCTGGACTTTCACTAAAGACATACAGGCCAACATAAATAATACCACAACCACACCCCCTGACTAGATTCATCAAGGTATTCACAATCCCAGATGTATGAGTAGTTGGTTCCAATTAACCTAATCATCATGTAATTTCTACAACAATCAAAGTTATCTTCCACCAAGAGCCCAAAACAAATATCTCTATGCAAAAGATAAATCTTCAACAATAATTATAATTTCATAATCTTAATATAAGAGTAATAATACATATCCAATTCTACTCTTATCATTAACAGATACATTCATTTTATCTTTTAAAAAAAACTCAACATATTTCCCTTTATTCTTAGTTCAAAACCAATGATTTCTAACAAAACATCTATTCCTTTCAAAAACACATTTAAAGGAGAAATTTCTAATGTTTCAACATAACTTAACAATATATTCATTTCCACAACATTTTCAATGGATCCATTCCCTCTTTTATACTAAAAAAAACCAAACCCTAAATCAACTCACATCTCCCAAATCACTACACTTTTCAAGGAACACATAACGAGGTTAAGAATCATACAATGAGGTTGAAGAAATCCTTACCTCAAGAGTAGAAGGAGAGAAGAACAAGACCCAACTTTTGACAGAACCGAAAATGAAAACTTTTTTGATTAGAATATTTACCTTTATGAGCTTTACACTTTTCTCCGAATCACTATGGTGGCGAGACCAACGGATTTGAGTGTATAGGGGTGTTTAGACAAGAACTAGAGAGAGAGTGTGTGTGAAGAAATTTGATAAAGTTACCTTTTAGAGAGAGAGATATAGATCAAAAAGTGAAAGAATATATCTTTTTCCCTTACTGATATGTGCACAAACTGCCCGAGTGACGAAAACACTACTCGAGTGTCAGACATAAGGAACCAATTGAATGACCAACTCAAGGCTCGAGTGTACAATGACCCCCTCCAAGTAGTTTAGACTTGCAAAGAGACCACTCGAGCAAAAGAAAGAACGCTTAAACGTCAAACATAGAATATCGCTCAAGCGACTAACTGATGGATCGAGCGAAGAACACCCCACTCCCAAAAGTTCAGTCTACAAACATAGATACTGGAAGGAACCAAAGACCGCTCGAGCGAAGGAAAGACTACTCGAGCGAACTTGAAGAGAAACAAGTAGAAACCCCTTTGAAAAACCAACCCCCAACCTGTTCAAAACACAACCAACAACTCCAAACAATCAATCCCACATTACGACAAGACAAAAAGAGTATAAACAACAACCATGAGTTCCGGATACCGGACCAAAGAATACAAAAGAGTCAAGCTTTAACCCGAGTTGCTATAGTAGATCACAACGGTGGTGGTGACGGTGGTAGTAGGCGACGACGGTGGTGGTGGCCGGCTAGTGGTTGTGTGTTCAGGGTTTTTGGAAACATGGTGGAGAGAGAGAGAGATGAAAAAGAATATGATTAAAATTTAATGAGGGCAATAAAGGTAATAGAGGATTTATTGGTGCATTTAGGAAGTCAACATGACTTAATGGTATTTAAGTTCACTAAATGGGATTGACCCGTAATTAACCCCAATTTTAAACCAATATAAGCATTTTTTTAGGGGTAGTTACGAGTCGATTATGTAGACTGAACTTATTTATCAAAAAGTCCTACTCTTATTTTGAGGGATAAATTTATCACTATAAAGATATTTTTAAAAAATACAGTTTAACTATTTACACTTCCCATGTCATATTACAATAATTAGCTCAAATAAACTAAAAATAAATCAAAAGTCAAAAATAAAGGTCAAAAAATTTCAATCATTTATCAGTTTAATAAATTTATTAGTATAATTACTAATCACAAATTATCATTCCACAAATACAAAATGCATCTAAAAAATCTCATTTTTTTTTCATTATTAAAATGAGGGCTATAAAAAAAAAAAAAAGACCACTCAGGACTTATGAGTATATAAGTATAATCAATGGGACCTGTACTAAACATTTATTATTATTATTATTATTATTATTATTATTATTATTATATTTTGGAATGATTTTGTATATGTGTTTATTGAGTTTTAGAAGGTAACTATGTATTATTGGATGAATTTCATCAATTTATTTTTTTAACCTCTTATAAAATTTCACACAACAAACACTATGTATACATTTCTCCTTCACATATTGAATTGCAAGACGCTAAAAGGGAATCATAGAGCACGGTTGTGGATGTCTCGTATTCTATTCAGTTTGTACTTTTTTTCTTTTTTTTTTTTTTTTTTTTTTTTTAAACATGTGTATTGTACACATTAAATGGCCTTTGTTTTTTGACATTGTTATGGTTATTGGGGATATAATAGTGTTAGTTAGTAATTTAGGTCATTTGGATGTTAACTAATGTCAATGTTATAATAGGATAGGACATGTGTGATTGTTTGTAGTGGGCTTGTGGTGAGACAAATTATTATGCACTTGTAAAATCTCTATGTTTGTTTAGTAATCGAAAATGTAGTGTCCCCGTTGTAACGTAATTTAGTTCTCATGTTACGTAATGAGTGATGGGTTGCAAATTCCATTGGGTTTATGGTTGTGTGGAGTTCATTTCAGTAATGGTTTTGTTTCCGATGGTGTGGTTTAGTCCTGTTAATGTGGTTTTAATAATTGTTAAGAGGTATGGAATGGTGGTGTCAGTCGTTGAGCTGGTGGTGCCGTATTGATGTGAAAAAAAGTGGGTCCACTCGAATATATTAAATGTTAATATCTCAATAGTCTTGATAATTAATGCGTCGTTGTGTTGTTGTTGTATTTGCTTGCATCGTTGTGATGTGGTAAGGCTAGATTTCCTTATCAATTGGGTTTGTAAGTTGGGTTGCAATTGTGTTATAAATTAAGTACATGGTATGGAACGTGGGTTAGTGTTGATGTCCACATTAGTATGTATTTTATGTAATGGCAATTGTCGACATTAGCTACATTGGATACTATTGTGAAATTAATTGCGTAATGACATGTGTCAAATGGTGTAATGGTACATGTGTGGTGAGGTATATTTGTTGTGTTAATGTTAATAGTCCATGTTTTTTGAGTTTGTTAGTATTAGTGACCATTTATAGTGTAAACGATATTGTATGTTACGTAATGATTATTGGGTTGCAATTCCATTTGGGTATTTTTTATCTCTGCAGTGAATTTTTTTTTTTTAAATCGTGTAATTTATTTATTTATTACTTTTATTAAGTTCGTGTAATATAGAAGAATCTAAAAAATAAAATAATTTTAAAAAATTCAAAAAAAATTCAGCAAAAGCAAATGTCTTTAGTGGACTTTAATTGATTATTATCGTTGAAAGTGAATGACTTTTCATGACTGGTCATAATATGACGCGCGCTGCATGTCGTAGAAGGGTTTTTACGACATGCATTGCGCGCCGTAAAAACCCTTTTTTGTTGTAGTGATTATTATTTTCAAGTCTGCCTAGCCTACTAAGACTTAAAATTAAAAAAAAATTAAAATTTTAATAAGCAAAATTCACTAAACGATGAAAAAAAATCAATAAAAAATTATTAAAAAGGCAATTACCAAATTGAGCCAAACCTCATATGAAAGGATTTTATTTGATTATGTGAATGGTGTATGTGTACTTGTATTTGCAATTACTGTGATAACTTGGAATGAGTAAGTTGGATGTTTTCAACATCAATCTTCTTAAAATTGCTGACTTTGCTAGTGGCAAAGAACTTCCCATAGTTGTAGGGCCTGTACTTTGGAGGGTTTTGGTGATCTATGAGCTCAGAAAGGGGCTCCACATTGACATGGTGTGCTGGGTTGAAGAAGAAAGCAATTGATAGCCTTTCTTTCTCTGAGTTCACCACTGCCCTGTGCTCCACACTCTGATATTTCTCATTAGTCCAAGCCTGTACAAAACACCTCTTTAATAGTTCATCACATATATATTTAAGTAAATTACAAATATAAGAGCTTAGACTAAGATAAAACTTAAGTGGAAGATGGCTGGATCATACAAGCAGGATGGTGGCTGGATCCCAGTGGTAAAGCAGAGAGGAAGTTATTCAAATCAAGTTGGGCTGAAGGAAGGTAGGCGAGTAGGGATGTACACTCTTTTTGTGGATAACCTACCAGAGTCAATGGATCCAAGGAGTATGTACTCTTTGTTCCTAAAATTTGGTGTAGTTAAGGATGTATTCATTCCACAAAAGAGGAGGAAAACAACAAACACAAGATTTGGCTTTGTTCGCTTTAACTGTCCTGTTGCAGCCAGTGTAGCAGAACAAAAGGCCAACGGAATATGGGTAGATGACAAAGCATTGATAGTCCATGGTGCAGTATATGGAAAAGAAAAAGGAGGCCAGATGAGGTGGAAACAAGTACAGAGGAGGCAACTGGAGTTAAGAAGACCAGCAGATAAAACTGGACCCATAGGGTGGAATCAAGGCATTGATAGTAGGTCGTATGTAGAGGTCATCAAAGGAGCCCAACCAAGAGGTCAACACACTACTACAATCAAAGTTGAAGAAGTAGGAAACGGCTGGCTGTATGAGAGCATGATTATGAGGCTTAAACCCGATCACTCTGCTATGGAGGTACAAGAAAAACTCAAAGAACAAGGTATGAAGGATGTAAGAGTGAGAGCAGGAGGAGGGCGTGATGTAGTCCTATCGTTCAACTCTGTGGAGGCTCTGAAGAGTTCAACCAGCAAGCTTAATGTATGGTTCCAGGAATGGTGTGAGTACATCACAGAGTGGTCAGTAGGTATGCAACTCCAACAGGAGAGGTCTGTTTGGCTTAGCTGCTACGGTGTACCCCTGAATCTCTGGAGTTCCAATACCTTCACAAAGATTGGCCGTCTTTGGGGGGAAGTGCTACAATTAGATGGAGATATTTGTGAGCCCGCTTCTTTCTATTGTGGGAAGATTAAAATAGTTACAGGTGCTATGGATCTGATCAATACATGTCTCAATCTAGAATGCAAAGGTAGAGTATACCCAATAAGAGTCTGTGAGGCACAGATTATCAATGAGGTATCATCCTGTGGTAAAGGAATCAACAATGAAGATGGTGAAGAGGGTGTTAGCTCCAATACTAAAAAGATGTTACAGTCAACTGCAGAGAGCAAGAGGGAGGGAGAAGAAGCTGACAAGGATGAGGAGGTGGAGGCTGACATGGTAAAAAAAAAAAATCATACGGTAAAAGGTGATTCTACTTCTAAGCTGAAAGAAGGAAGTGAGGGGGAGGTAGGTGACAGTTGTATTCCAATATCAGTGGTGAAAGAGACTGAAGAGTGCATAGGGAAATCAACTGAAATAGGTTCATGCGTGGGTGACACAATGATGGAAGTGGAAGGTCTACAGCAGCCACAGCTACAACCGTGCAGTCATGCTTTGGAAAAAGGTGCTGAGATTCAAAAAGAGGATGGGCAGGTAGCCATAAAAGGCTTTATCAGAAGCTTAAGTGAAACCCAAAAGTTAAGGCCTGGAATTCATTTGGAGGTTGATTTGGGCCAAGAACATCTAAATTCCTAGCCCATTGAGCTAGTCCATTGCACGTCCAGTAGTAATGAAGGTGGACTCAAAGGGGAGGGTTATAATTCAAACTCCAATGATACAATTAGGGATTCTATTAGTGGTTCCATCAATAACCAGACTAACCAAGGCCCAAGGTCAGTGACCACAAAAGGAGGGCCTAAATATCCTCTGGCAGCAGGTGGGTTCTCTGGGCTGATTAGGAGAATTGGGCAGGAAAGTGTGGGAGCAAGAAGAAGAAAGGTTCAGCACAAAAAGAAGGTGCCCAGGTCTGGAGCAGTGCCGAGGCCAAATGCAGTTATCTGTCAGCATTATAGTGAATCAGATAAATTAATAGAAGCTCAGGCAACAGTTCGGTTAGGGAAAAGATTGGGGATTGATTTTAAAGGCCAAGAAGAAGAAATTATTAATAAAATTACACAACTAGAGGAGGAAGAAAGGGCCAGAGTTGGAGGGGGGGACTGAAGCAGCCTCGAAAGCACATGATGGGAGGCTACAGAGATGAAAAATGTTGCTATGAAGATACTAAGCTGGAATATTAGAGGAGTGGGTAGACCTGAGAAAAGGAGAAAGATCAAGACTCTACTGTTTGACAGGAGAATTGATATGGTTTTGATGCAAGAAACAAAAAGGTCAAGCTTGAACAATCTGGTGGCTAGAAGTTTGTGGCCAAGAGAAAAGATGGAAATCATGGCAGTGGATGCAATAGGTGCGGCAGGTGGATTGTTATGCATTTGGGACCCTGATGTTTTTCAACTTTCAGAATGCTGTAGCAACAAAAACTTCATCCTACTTTCAGGTACTATTCTGAATTCCTTTGAGTGTGTTATCTTAAATGTCTATGCCCCAAATGATATTATGAGGAGAGGTAAGTTATGGGAGTCATTGTTGTATTTAAAGTCCATTTTCCCCAAACCATGGTGTCTAGGAGGTGATTTCAATGAGATCAGAAATTTGGGGGAAAGAATAGGAAGCTCAAGGAGGGACAGGGGCATGAAAGAGTTTAATGAGTTCATAGATAGATGCGAGGTGACTGATCTGCCCATGGTAGGGAGAAAATTTACTTGGTGTAATGCTCATGATGGTCACAAATGGAGCAGAATAGATAGATTCCTTCTTAGCCCTGAGTGGATTGAAAGATATAGATACAAACTGTGGGGACTGCCTAGGTTGGTTTCAGACCATTGCCCGATAGTGCTTATGGAAGATGAGAGGGACTGGGGTCCTAAACCTTTCAAGTTCTTAAATGCCTGGTTATTGCACCCACAGTTCACACCTTTTGTGGAGAATACATGGAAGGAGTTACAGATTCAAGGGAATACGGGGGTCACTCTGCTAAGGAAATTACAGGCTTTAAAGATGGTACTAAAAAAATGGAATATAGAAGTATATGGTAATACTGCAGCTCAACTAAAAGCATCAGAAGATAAACTGAATGCACTTGATTTGAGGGCTGAGGTAAGACCTCTGGAGGATGCTGAAATCAAACAAAAAAGTGAGGTTAGGAATGAGATGTGGAGATTAAGTAGAATGCTGGAATGGGAATGGCTTCAAAAGTCAAGGCTCGACTGGAATATGAAAGGGGATAGGAACACAAGATATTTTCATGTCATGGCTACTAGTAGAAAAAATAAAAATGCCCTCAACTCCATTGTTGTAGGGGAGGTGGCAATTGAGGAACCAATTCAGGTCAAAATTGAGGTATGGTCACATTTTACAAACCAGTTCTCAGAAGAGTGGAGACTTAGACCTATAATAGGTGGGGAGTTTAAAAGTGTAAGGCAAAGTGATTCATTTCATATCCTAGAGTCAGAATTTTCAGCAATGGAGGTTTGGGAAGCCGTCAAGGACTGTAATGGCAACAAAGCCCCGGGGCCAGATGGTTTCAACTTGCTATTTTTCCAGAAGTTCTGGAAGGTGCTCAAAGAAGATGTGATGCTCTTTTTCACAGATTTTCATGACAGGGGCAGATTGGCTAAAGGCTTTAACAGCTCTTTCATCACCCTTATACCTAAGAAAATTGATGCAGCCAACTTAAGTGAGTTTAGACCCATTAGTCTTATAGGGTCAGTGTATAAAATACTCTCCAAGGTTCTTGCTAGTAGACTAAAAAAAGTCATGTCAGATGTAATTGGTGAAGCACAATCAGCATTCCTTGGAGGTAGAAACATACTCGATGGGGCTTTGATTGCAAATGAAATAGTGGATGGGTGGAATAAAACCAAGAGAAAAGGGCTGATATTCAAGATTGATTTTGAGAAGGCTTATGATTCACTCAACTGGGAATTCCTATTCTCAATGCTATCTAGCTTTGGCTTTGGAGCGAAGTGGATCTCTTGGATAAAAAGTTGTCTCTCTTCAGCTAGAATCTCCATCCTCGTTAATGGCTCACCAACTAAGGAGTTCAGTCCTGAAAGAGGTCTCAGACAAGGGGACCCACTATCCCCCTTCCTTTTCAACTTGGCTGCAGAAGGATTGAACATGTTACTGATGAGAGCTAGGGAGTTGGGGCTGCTAAAAGGAGTAGTTTTTGGTGACAATAATGTGGTTGTGTCACATCTTCAATTTGCAGATGATTCTTTGTTGTTTTGTGATGCTGTATGGTCAGAAGTGCTTAATTTAAAAAGGATCCTTAGGTGTTTTGAAATTGTTTCAGGGCTTAAAATAAATTACCACAAAAGTGTAATTTGTGGGTTTGGTATCTCTGAATCTGGGCTTCATGAGTTCGCAGGTATGCTAAACTGTAAAGTTAAGTCAACACCAATCAAGTATCTGGGGTTGCCACTGGGAGCAAGCCCCCATAGAAAGGTGTTCTGGAAGCCTGTCTTGGATAGGATAAAGCACAGGCTTGCTGGTTGGAAGAGGAGACTTCTCTCCTTTGCGGGAAGATTAACACTAATTAAATCAGTGTTATCTAGTCTGCCGGTGTACTACCTCTCTCTGTTCAAGTTTAAGCCCATAGAGAGACTTATTTAGTTTACAAACAAAGGAGGGTTGATTAGGACAAACAAAACTAGGGGGTTGGTGCATAAAAACATCTTCATCAAGAGTACCATGCAAGAAGGCATTTGAGATATCTAACTGCCGAATAGACCAGTTAAAGTGAAGAGCTAAACAAAATAAAATCCGAACAGTAGGTTGTTTAGCAACTGGAGAAAAGGTATCATGAAAATCAACACCTGCTTCTTGCAAGTAACCTTTAGCAACTAATCGGGCCTTGTACCGAGCAATAGTACCATCAGAATGTTTCTTAATGCGAAATACCCATTTACAACCAATAATATGGGTGGCAGTAGAAGGTGGAACTAGAGTCCAAGTATGCTGAGTTTGAAGAGCTTGAAACTCAGTTTGCATAGCGGCCAACCAATGAGGAG